CACCTTTCATGCTCATTAAAGAACGCATTTCTGTGTAGAATTTTCTGAAAAACGTTGATTAAAGGCATACAAGATGTACTTTTTCAGTTTCCACGGACTCTCAAACTATGGAAATAACTAGGCGGTCATTTTCTTGCTAATTTTACCTCTGAAACCAGGCGAACCCACCTCCTTCAATCGTCAATATCTTGACCTGTATCCAAGATACGTGGGGTTTTTTTTTCAACAAAAGCAAATCAAATGGACCAAATGGACACGCCTTAAGGTGATAGCAATAACTCCATATTATGTCCCCAAATTGACGAGCGCCTGATTCCACCACATGGTGGTACTAATGTCCTAATACAAGTTAATGTACTTAGGTATACCATGTACTCACACTGTAATCAGAATACCGTTTAGTTAGTCAGAATACTGAGCATGTATCTAGCTTAAGATTATTATTGTTTATATTACTCTTCATTTATATTATGCATGTGACTGTAAGCCTGCCTGTGTGTGTGTGCGCGCGTGTGTGCGCGCGCGTGTGTGTGTGTGTGTATGTGAGTGCGTGGTGGAAAACCCAGCCAAAGTACCAGGATCTTATCTCATCTAAGAAGTGCATTTAGCGCCTACCTTTATGTGAGAGGTGTAGCTCTCGTGAAACTGAAGACGAATTTCACACTTTGTAAACGGAAGGAAATTGTTCATTCCTCCCAGCCTGACTGGGCCCAGTACATAGATGTACATTATAGGTTGAAAAGGGCGTAACTCTATGGCCCAATGACAGAATTACTGCCGTGATCTCATAAAACGCTTTAAAAAAAAAAAAAAATCAAGGTTCGAGATAATCGCGATTTAGTGTTTTTTTAAAAACTAATTAAACAAATAGCAATGTTGTTTTTGTTGGACGATTCCACATGAAGATAAATCTATATCTCATTTACCGTGACGGAACCAAATTTGATCGAATTTGAGCTAAAGACAAACAAAAACAAATAAGAAGAATGCGTTTTATCAGATCACCCTTGGATATGCAATGTTTGACCCATGATAAGAGATCATATGTGCACAACCTGTATTTTTTCCTTATGGAAACTTTATTGAACAAATGAGTGTTTTATACAATGTGATGTGGGCTACTTAGTTAATTACAAGATAATGTACTGGAAATAAAACTGAGTTAGATCTAGATCTAGATCTAGACATGATTTAACAAAATGTGTCTTATGTCTTAAACTTTTGGTTAACACTTTTCAGTAAAATCAACAGAGAAATGTTTTAAATGGTGGAAAAATCGATTAATACGGAAAGCATGCAAAATTTCAACATCTACATTCCCCTACTTGGATTAATTGTACATTACAGCTTGCACCAGAAACATTAATTCCATCCTTTTGGACAATAAACATCCTTTGTTCTCTCAAATAATAGTAATAAATATCAGTCAGAAGTAAAAGACCTAGGCTTCTGATCTGTAACAAAGAAAGATACAGAAGGTCATTCTTACCATAATCCATCAAAATTCTTCTATCTTAACCATCTTGTTACAAGTATTCATATGACCTTAGAGCATGCATCAGAATACCATTGAGTTACAATAATTAACTTAACATTATTATTGTTTAATATTACTGTTCGTATATATATATTATGCGTTTGACTGTAAGCCTATTTGTGAGTGCAAGCATATTGCGTGTGTGTGTGTGTGTGTGTGAGTGA